CTTCTTTAAGACAAAAAGACGACTCTGATAGACAGAGCATTGTGTGAGTATTAAGCCAAGTTCTCTTTTGTGTCAAATCAGATTTTCTTTTCTGGAAAACCGAGGACTACAATGGGGGTTTTTGAGGTTGTTGAGAAACAGTGCTTACTGATACACAGAATAAATGACTCCCGCTGGAGCCACTTCATTGTTCTTGTTAGAAAACTTTTACACAAAGAGCGAGTCGTACTTTATGATAAATATATTTTAGATGATGCATATACACATGAGAGTAAGATGCATGAGCGTCCTGATAAAAGGCCTTTTATTTATAAGTGGGCTCGCTTTGAAGCTGTTGCTTTTCAGACTACAAACTACTCTTAATTTAAAAGGATGCTATATATTTTATGTTTTTGAATATATTAGAAGTGAAATGTTTCTACATATTACTTTTTTGTACAATATTTAGTTTAAAAGACCATTTTTTTTGCTCTTTGTTCAAACTACTTATTTAAAAATAAACTGAAGGGTGGCATTTATTTTGCGATAGCTACTGGCTGGATGTAAATTATCTATTTATTACACAGCAGCTTCCCCCTTGGATGAAAAGTAATGACTATATTGACAATAGGCCAATTTTACATTACTTTGGACCTTAAATATTGCAGAAAAATATGTATTTCTATACATATTTGTATGTGTGTGTGTGTGTGAGAGAGAGAAATGTGTTTATTTCTCAAACAAACCACAAATTAAACTTGTACTAAAAACTTACTTATTAATAGCAAATCCTGAAAACTGACAGTAACTTTGAAGTGGCCTTTTCATTTTTTTTTTACAAAACTTGTAAATTTGTAAAATATGTTTTGCTCTTAAATTGTATTTATTGTTTAATAATGTTTCAGGAGTGTAATAAATAAGTAAATACAGTACATATCAGTTAATAAGCTATATATAATAAGTCAACACGTCACCTTTTATCTCAGAAAACTAAATTTCTAAAGGTGCTGTTGACTTGAACTTTTCACCAGAGGTCAATAACAACCAAAGAAATCCACAATTGCAAAGAAAACAAAACTTATTAGATTACAAATGAAGATCTGTCTAATAAAATGAAATGACACTGGAAAAAAGTATTGAACACATGTAGAAAGGGAGGTGTAGAAAGGCAGGAAATGCCCAGACAGCCGCTGAAATCTCTCAGTAGTTCTTCAGCAACCCTCTGCCATTTCTCAGTGTAAATAAATATCAGTTGCTTCAGTTCAATATTTACATTAGCAGAACGATGAAGATAAAACCAGCAAGACAATGATCCAAAACACAGCCAATGAAACTCTCAGATGGTTTCAGAGAAAGAAAATCAAGCTGTGGAATGGCCCAGCCAATCACCTGACTTGAATCCAATAGAAAATACTAAATAAAGATAGAGCAGTTCATTCTTCACTTTATTCTTAATATGAGAGGCGTCTTTAAGCTGTCATCACCATAAAAGCTTTTTATATAAAGAAGTAAATAAAGTACATATCCATTTGTAAAAAAACAGAATAATAATAAAGAAAAAATGAATAATGTAGCTTTATATTAATATTTAATACCCAATAGTAGTAAGCGTATTATTTAATTGTGAAATGTTTTTACACAATCCATTTTTAGTACAGTACTTAATTTAAATATTTAATTTGTAATAATATTTCAGGTGTAAATAAATGTAAATACAGTACATATAACTTATAGTTATAGTAATAAAGTACAAAAAAATTATCTATACTTAAATTATTATTTAAGTATAGCTCTATATTTAATAAGCAGCAGTAGTAGTTATTGTATCCTTTATTTGTTTATTTATTTATCCGTAATATTTCTTTGTCAGCTCAGGACCCAGCTGCTCAGATAATTTACTCGCTTTGAAAGTTGTTATTAGAGCTGCTAACATTTCAAAGTCTCTTTGTTGCCTGCATTTGCATATTTTACACTGACGCCATCAAAAGCCTGCCGTGTGTCGCAGGCCGATATTCGCCTCTCCGTAGGGGCTTACAGTATCCCTTTCTTAACATTTTAATTGCCTTGTTTTTGTACAAAGCAGGTGGTGCTTAATTCTGCAAAATCCCGCTCTTAGTGGATTGAAGAACAAATGAGCTGCTGTTTGTGAGAGTGATCTTTCAGCAATCAGATGTGTGTGTGTTGCTGTATCGGACATTAATGCAGAGACAGTCACTTGAGGTCATCCAGGATCACTTTAATCCTTTATGAAAGACGTTTTCTTCACACGTCCAGTGACTGAACGCTTTGTTTTCACCTCTCACTTTCAATTGATGTTTAATCGTCTTCTATTCATTCATTTAATCAGACCGTCTTTTTGATCGTGGCCCTCAAATGCACCGCTATAGTGCTTTGCAACACACACACCCACACACAAACACACAGTTGTTTAAATGTATTACAAAACTCGTGCTTAGGATCACACCCTGCAGGCACAGGACACCAACATGACATCATATTGACGTTGTATCCCAATTTCGTGGGGACGTTGGGTTTTGCTTGGAAATGAAAATCGGGTTGACGTCAGAACCCAAGGTCAGGTCGATTCCAATTTCCACCCTTAAAGGGTCACGAAACACCAAAACACATTTTTTGGGCTGTTGACAGTCGTATATGTGTCCCACACTGCTAAAAACACTATTAGGACACCTATATTTCACTAAAAAGTGTAAATTGGTTGTTTTTGCGTTATTTCAAGCAAATTCGTACTTTGGGTTTGAAACGAATTTTTGAAGCTGCGTCACGGTCATGACATAATAGCGTGTATTCCAGCGTGCAGACTGGACGTCTGTGCCAGAGTGTGTCTTATTACGTCTTACAGTGTGATGCATTAATGCATGAGTACAGCTTGGTTCAAACCAATCAGCGCGCTCTTTTGTGCAACTTCATTAATATTCATTACTGTCACAGAGTTTAGACGACAGAGACACCACGTTGTGTTGGCAAAACAAGCGTGAAGTGTTGCTTTAATAGTTTGCTGCAGTTAAGTTTTGTTTTCATTTTCTCTCTGTGAGAGCTCATCTGGAGTCACGTGTGGATTAACAGTGTACGCGACACTCGACAACAATAACTTACGTGTCTAAGGAGGATTATTGTTTACCTGAGAGCTGTTCTCATCTGCAAATGCTGAGATCCGGATTCGCTTGTAGTCTCCTCTTAATAAAGATGCGGCTCTAGTTGCTGGTGATTGTCCTGTCTCTACAGATTTGGTAAGTGAGCGACCAGCGCTCTTTGTTTATTCAGTTTTTTCATATCGAACAAACTATTGCACCGAGTGTAAACATGTTAGCACTACAACCAAACTTTAACCTCGTGTAGGATTTTCACCGCATTTTGTGACCGGAATAACACACGCGGCTTTCTGACGCTACCTGCCGTGTGCATCTAAGTTTCCGGGAAATGCGGAGGGTTTTTTTCTCTCATTCGCCGTGCGGTATCAAACATTGCATGAAAAATACACGCTTAGAGCAGTTCCTCGAATCAAATATCTCGTTTGTCGCGAGGGGCATGAATGAATTCCCTGAATGAAAGAGCCAAACTGCAGTTAAAGTCCACCATTTAGTAATTTGGCAAATAATTCGACTACAGATGTCCATGTAAACACAGTCACTTTGTCCCCTGTGTGTGTATTTTGACTCTGAAACTCAGCGCGCCCAAATAGACACTTCCACACCAAGCCGCTTTTCTTCCTCCGACACTCCCCCCTAAACAGAGCTGGACACGCCCACTTTTCTGACTTTTTCCAAAGTAGAGGTGTGAAAACACTCTGCTGAAACGAGGGGGTTTCATGGCCCTTTAAATCGACCAAATTTCACCGTCTAGACGTTCTGTGGACGTTACCACTATGACATCTATCAGACGTTGGATTTTGGTCACATTCCAACATGACCTAAATTAAACCAAATATCTATGTAATTTGACGACATTATTAGACGTCAAAAAAACGTTGTCCTTAGACGGTGGCTAGACATTGAATTTTGGTCACCTAAAGTCATGACTTAAATGTTACCTAATATTAACGTCTTATGAAGATGTGTGCCTGCTGGGCATTTTAGTTTTTGAAAGCATGTTTTGGGTCCAAATGTCTTTCTTGCGGAGGTAGACCTTTCGGAGGTAGACCGGAGAAAAGCGGTGTTATTTGCAAGTTTGTTCTCCGGAATTAACAACAAAAGAAAAAAATTGAGTGGGAGAGTTTAGCTGATGCGGTTAACACAGTTGGGTCTGAACATCGCACTGAGTGAATTAAAAAAGAAATAGTGTGATTTATAGGTGTAAAATGTTGCAACACCCTTAACAGTCTCAGTGGCGCACCTCGTAACACGCATGTCAACATGTTTTGACTTGTTTGAGCATGAACTCGGTTCGAATCCAGCGTCTTATGAACTCGCATGGGCCGATATCTGATTTTAAACTTTACCGTGGTTTAGAAAAGTTAAGGTTTTAAACCTACTAGAATTTTCTGCCATGCCATTCCTACGATATATGTGTAAGGGTTTTTTTAATATTGTTTTTATGACTATTTTGTTTAGTTTTTTTAGGGCAAAATTATCTCCAACAGAAAGGACCCTCCACATTAAAAGCTACTGGTCAGCCCATGATACAGCACATTTGAAAAACAAATCACTAATACACCAACATCCAAGCATCGACAGACTCTTATACTGGTTCATGCCTAATCGTATCCTAAGAAAAGTGAAAAGCCCCTAAAAAATAATAAATAGATTAAAAAAAAGCACAATTTCAGTGAACGGCCCCTTAATCTGCCTATCACACATGTGCCGAACAGCAGATCCTGAATCAGCCATGATCTGTTGAAGCCCAAACGCACACACTGAGTCAGAATAAGATCAGCAGTGTGTTTGCATGAGGCAGATGGAGACAGAGAGCCGCTCTTTTGTCTGTCTGTGTGTGTTTGTTTTGTTCCTGAGCGATAACTACAGCAGATTACATTGAAACGTTTGACTTTATGTGATCTTCTGCAGGCCCGTCGTTCAAGCCCAGCTGCAGCAAAGGCCAGAAGTATCTGGAGTTCATTCCCATCAACCTGCACACGCAGAGGATGAGGGTCACGTGTCCCAGGAAAACAGGTGCGTCCCCACACGCTGATCGATCTGTCTGTTCAAGTTTTCCGGGTGTGTTTGGAAGGAAATATTCTTACATCTTTAAAATTAGAAAAGTGAATGTATGTAAGACTATTAGAATGATTTTTGAATGATTGTGTGACATTTAAGACTTTAAATTATAAGAATATACATGCATATTGTACACTACCTGATAAAAGTCTCGTCGCCTATCCAAGTTTTAGTAACAACAAACAATAAGTTGACTTCTAGTTGATCATTTAGTATCAGAAGTGGCTTATATGACAGGCAAATGTGTGAAAACCTACATCTCTGCAATAACTGAAATAAATTCTTAGGTCATCTGGAATGGCAAAGAAAGCGTTCTTGCAGGACTCCCGGAGTTCATCAAGATTCTTTGGCTTCATTTTCAATGTCTCCTCTTCCATCTTACCCCATACATAATTTTCATGTCTTGTGACTGGGCTGGCCAATCCTGGAGCACCTTGAACTTCTTTGCTTTCAGAAACTTTGACGAGGGACTTAATTATGAGAAGGAGCGCTATCCTGCTGGAGAATTTGCCCTCTCCTGTGGTTTGTAATGTAATGGGCAGCACAAATGTCTTGATACCTCAGGCTGTTGATGTTGCCATCCACTCTGCAGATCTCTCGCACGCCCCCATACTGAATGTAACCCCAAACCATGATTTTTCCTTCACCAAACTTGACTGATTTCTGTGAGAATCTTGGCTCCATGCTGGTTCCAGTAAGTCTTCTGCAGTGTTTGTAATGATTGTGATGCAGCTCCACAGATGAATTATCAGAAAAATCCACCTTCTTCCACTTTTCCAAATGATCAACTACAAATCAAGTTTTTATTTGTTGCTCTTACAACTGGGATCGACGACAAGACTTTTGTCAGGTAGTGTATGTATTTACGTGTGTCAATCTATAATAAATAGTTAACTTTCAGTCTCATTCCATTGTTTTTGTTGCTTGTAGCACTTTTATATTAATATACAATACCAGTGTTATTTTTAAATAGTTAAGGTACTTTAACAAAAAGGTTCCAGTGTTTAATCTAGTGAACAAACAATGAAAGTTACATTTATTACTGTTAATATTCATCTTTGTTAACATCTGTTAATGGAAATTATTCGTTATTTTTTAAAGTCATTCACAAGTCGTTCATCTTAACTCACAGTGCATCAATTAATGTTAACAAGCACAACTTTGGATGTTAATAATGCATTAGTAAATACTGAACTATGATTAATAAATGCTGTACAAGTATTGTTAATGGTCAATATACACAAAGACTTTTAATTTTCAGCCAGGCAGCCCAACAGCTTCTTTCCATTACACAACTGTCACGATTAAGATTAGATTTCGTTTAAAATCACCCACCTTCACTGCGTGTTTGAAATATGATATGAAGTAGGTCTCAGATTGGACAAGAAAAACCCATTAAATTCAGTTTCCCCCCGCCATGTCTGTAAAGTATGACAGTTTATTTTACCCCAGTATTTTTAATGTAATTTCTGCGCCAGACTGTTGCTGCTGACGGCGCTAGTGGTTACAACAGTCTTTCATCTCGTTTTACGCTTGAACAACTGAATGAATGCTTAAGTCTATTTAACTGAATAGAATGTAATTACATTACAACATCAATGCTGTGAAAGCAACAGTGTGAAATTGAAAATAGTCACATTTAGCTTTGACCGGAAGTTTATCATTGGCTTTAAAACTCTAGCTATGCATAGAGCCCATCATGTGCTCATATCAATAAATACATGAATGTCAACGTACTGCATTTACTTTAAATTTAAAAAATCATAATGTATTTATTATTAAATATTATTGCAATTTAGATTTAATTTCAATGCAATGTAGCTGTTTTTATTTGAACATATGTTAAAATGTCATGTATTCCTATGATTCAAAGTTGATACTCCTTAAAAATGTTGTTATTATAAGTGATTATTATACAAACGTCTACAAAAGTATGAAGCAGCGCAACTTTTTTAAAAATTGATGATAATCATAGCTGGCAGCAACTCTCACATGGTCGCCCACTGAAGCTAAGCAGGGCTGAGCCCGGTCAGTACCTGGATGGGAGACCACATGGGAAAGCTAGGTTTCTGCCGGAAGTGGTGTTAGTGAGGCCAGCAGGGGGGTCTATGTGGGTCCTCATCCCCCAGTATAGTGAGGGCGACTCTATACTGCTCAGTGAGCACCGTCTTTCGGATGAGACGTTAAACTGAGGTCCTGACTCTCTGTGGTCATTAAAAATCCCAGGTTGTCCTACAAAAAAAGAGTAGGGCTTTAACACTGGCATCCTGGGCAAATCTGCCCACTGGCCTCTATTCATCATGGCCTCTTAACAATCCTCATATCATAATTGGCTTCATCACTCTGCCTCTGCTCCACCAATCACCTGTGTGGTGTGCGGTCTGGCGCAAAATGGCTGCTGTCGCGTCATCCAGGTGAATGCTGCATACTGGTGGTGGATGAGGTAAAAGTGCTTTGAGTGCCTAGAAAAGCTCTATATAAATGTACAGCCTGATCTCACGAGAAAACGTAAGTATTTTACGTTTTGCCAGTTTAGTGGCTAATTCGTACAAATTCGTACGACTTCAGTCGTACGAAATGGTACGATTTTAAAAAGAAGGCGTGGCACCTGACCCCACCCCTAACCCCAACCGTCATTGGGGGATAAGCAAATCGTACTAAATTGTACGAGTTAGATTGTACGAATTCATACGAATTAGCCACTAAATGAAAAAGTTACGAATTGCCGTGAGATTGTGTTGAAATGTAAGGAATTATTTAATTTTTCTTAATTAATTATGAATGTATCAAATGATCATATTAGAATGATTTCTGACAGATCAAGTGACGCTGGCGAATAGATGCTGAAAATTCAACATGTTGCTTGTCGTAAGAGTAAAATGGCAGTGTGCAAATCCAAACACAGCTTTTTTATCATGTTGTTTATTTTGCATTGGAAAGCAGTTAGCCGAAAACCTATTAGCAGAGCTCATTTTAGCATCCACCCTCTGCTGCTATGGTTAACCCGTGAGTCCCAGTGGCAGGTGCGGGACAGTCAGCGGGGAGATGTTGACAGGTGCTCAGAGGAAACACTAAATGAGGAGCTGACAGCACAACACCATCATTCCTGACTGGACAAGATTCATGTCAGAGCAAAATCATTCACTGCAGCTGACAAGCACTGAACTGAAATCCCGCTAGTGCGTCTCGCTGATGCTAGCGTTCAGATGTTTGGGGTCCTTTTACTGTTTTGTATACGAGGAGGGTTGAAAATGTCCTCTGAAACGACTTTATGTGAAAGAAACATTTCGTATTAATTTAGAATAAAGTTGATATATATAGTGGGTCATGTGTGTACTTTTCTACACCTTTTGGACTTGTTGGATGAGTTTGAAGACTGGGTTGAAGATTGGAAGGATGAGTGTATAATTAAAAAGAGTGGATGGATGGATGGATGGATGGATGGATGGATGGATGGATGGATGGATGGATGGATGGATGGACGGATGGAGGGGTGATTGGATGCATGGATTGTTAATGCAACAAATGATAGGTGGATTTTTATATAAACAGATGTAAGTCTGAATGGGTGGATGACTGGATAGATGGATGACTGGATCGACGGAGGGATGAATATATAAAGGATGGATCCATATTATGATGCAAAGATGGATAATAGAATGAATGATGGGTAGATGTTTTTATGTAGAAATAGATGATAGGAATATGAACGAGTGGATGACTGGATTGATGTTTGGATGACTGGATGAATGGTTGGATGATGGGATAGAGGAATGGGTAAATGGATGACTGTGGTAGAATATGAAAAAATGAATGGATGAATGAATGGATGACTTCGGATGAATGTAGAAAAAAGGAATTATAGATGATTGGATGGATGAATGGATGACAGAAGTATGGGTGCGTGGATGATTGGATGGATGGATGGATGGATGGATGATTGGATAGATGGTGGAATTATAGGCGGGCGGATGATTGGATGGATGGAAGTATGGGTGGGTAGATGATTGTGTGGATATATGGATGGTTGAAGGATGGAACTGAGGATGGGTGATTTGATGGATGAGTTGTTAATGCAAAGAATGATGGGTGGATTTTTGGATTAACAGTTGGATGATGAAAGAATGAATGGGTTGATGACTGGATGGACGGATAGATGGATAATTGAATGGACAGATGAATGAGGATACGAAAGATTGATTCATGATCGGATGAATGGAAAGATGGATAATAGATTGAATGATGGGTGGATGTTTGGATGGATAGATAGAGGATGGAATATGGACAGGTGGATGACTGGATGGATGTATGGAGGGATGGATAGATGGATGACTGGATGGATGGATCAATGTGGAAAACAGTATAGGTGGATGATTGATTGAATGGATGGATGACAGAAGAATAGCTGGGTGGATGATTGGATAGATAGATGGATGCATGATGGATGAGTGGATGATCGGATGAATGTGGAAAAAAGAGTTGTGGATGAATGGATGGATGACAGTAGAGTGGATGATTGGATGAATGTATGGATAATAGAAAGCATGGATGGATGGATGATGGAAGTATGGATGGGTGGATGATAAGACAAATAGATGGATGACAGAAGAATATGTGGATTGACGATTAGATGGATGGATGATGGAAGAAGGGGTGGATAAATTGATGGATGTATGGATGGGTGGATGATTGGATGGATGGATAGATGATGGAAATAAATGATTGGTAGATCATTGGATGAAGGGATGAATGTATGATGGAAGTATGGGTGGGTGGGTGGATGGATGAATTAATGAGGAAAACAGGATGGGTGGATGATTGACTGGATGATAGAAGTATGAGTGTGTGGACGATCGGATGGATGGTTGGATGATTGAATGGACAAGGGATGTGTGGATTATTAGATGGACAGGTGGATGAATGAAAGAATAGGTGATAGGGCAGATAATTACTGC